TTTCTTTCTTTCTTTCTTTCTTTCTTTCTTTCTTTCTTTCTTTCTTTGTATGTTTTATTAATACATTTTTAAAAATACAAATAAAAAATTCCATGTCTGTCTGAACAGCGTGTTGTCTGGGCACAGTCAGTTGTAAGTAGAGATACAACATTAATCATAATAGACATATCAATGTTAATCACAAAATAGTAATACAATCAGTTTGCCCATCTTATAAATTTTTCAATACCAAAACATTTTCCTTTTTGGTTTTTTTTTAGGTTCTAACTTCTGTTTTGTTAGTTAACCATTGGTAAAACAAGTCCCATGTTAAAAAGTATTTTTGTTTCTTCCTTTTCTTTTAAGTGGCTCAGTGGCTAAGACACTGAACTTGTTGATCAGAAAGGTTGGTGGTTCGAATCCCTAGCGCCGCGTCATGGAGTGAGCTCCCGTTACTTGTCCCGGCTTCTGCCAACCTAGCAGTTCTAAAGCATGTAAAAATGCAAGTAGAAAAATAGGGACCACTTTGGTGGGAAGGGAACAGCGTTCCATGTGCCTTCGAAAGCGTTTAGTCCTGCCAGCCACATGACCACAGAGGCGTCTTCGGACAGCGCTGGCTGGAAATGACTAGCACATATGTGAAAGGGGAACCTTTACTTATCCACCTCAGCACTTTGTCATATTTTTTAAATAATACTTTCATCTGTAGGGATCTCTTCATTTTTTCCCCATTGTTGCGCAAACACAATTCTTGCTGCCATTAATACACGTAAAATGAAGTATGTTTGGCAGTTTTTTGATTGGGGCGTTGTTGACTTGATTGTTGAGCTGATGTTAACCTTGGTGTTGATCTGGTTGCTGATTGTTGACAGAGAGGTGCTTTGTTTGATGGTCTCTTTTGCATCCTCTATAGATGTTGTTCATGTCTATGTGTCTGTGGATGGCTGATTTATAAAATCCCCTGGCATTTTTGGACTTGGCTTGTTCTAGGATGGTCTCGGAGTGGGAAGGAACCTCAGGGGTCTTCTAATCTGACTCTCGTGCAGAGAAAGGCTAGCATGAGGGTGGTTGAAGCCCCAAACCTGTCATGCCCCAGTTGGAGTCTGACTCTGAGACAGAAGATGAACAGCTGACCGAGAGCGGGAGCATGGCTCCGTTGGCTGTGGAGGAAACTGGGGAAGGGCAAAGTCAGGCTGGGCAGAGCAGGAGAGAGGTAGAACAAGGTAGAGGGGGTTCAGATGAAGACCAAGGCCCACTCCCTCCTCATCCTAGGGAAGAACGCAGAAGAGAGTAACGTGGGTGGCGTAGCTTACGAGGAAGGAAAGGGCCCTGATTCCTTTCACAAGGCACACCTGGAGAGGGAGATTAAAGGAGAGGCAGTTGAGAGGGGCATTTGTCGGGAACAAACACTGAATTCATCTAGTGTTGAGAGTTATGGCCTGCATTCCTGGCCTTCCTCCTGACTGTTTGAATTATTATTGCCGTGCTCCTGTGTGTTATCTTGCCTTGCTGGAATTATTGCCGTGATTCTTTGCTTCTGGGACTCATTATCTTGCCCTGCTGAAGTGATTGACTGCAGTCATTCTGCTTACAGCATTTGGACAGGAATATCTGCAGCCAGAGGCTGTTGCAGGTTCATGGGAGAGCTTTTCTCCAGACTGGAGAGTAAACGGGACGTTGGGGCCAACGTTGGAACAAATAAAAGGGCTCATATCTCTTCTCTGGCTTTGTTGCCTTTGTGCCACACCCCAGGTCATCACAAAACCTGAGGCTGCCAAATTCAAAACTGTTGCTCTTTTGGGGTGGGGTGGGGTGATATTGTGGTTTTTCGCCATCCTTCTTGCAACAAACATTGGCTGATGCTGATAGTTGGATATTCAACTGGTGCAGCTTCACTTCCCTAGATATGTGACCTCAGAGGGAGGTATGTGGACAACTAAAGGTCCATTTGGCTATTATGGCATAGTTATGTTTTCATCATGGATTGATTGGTTGCATGTCGGGTTGCAAGGTTGCAAGGCACAAAATGAATTTCAACCGGATGTTTCTTGTAAATGCCCATTTTGGGCCTTCTCTGTATTTCCACAGGGCTTTTAAGATTCTGATTTACCACCTGCAACGCCAAAAAAACCGATCTGTGATGACAACAATGCCAATTCTAAGGAGCAGCTTGGGGTCCGCAGACCATAATTTCGCAAACGAGCTTTCTGGCATGCACGAAACAATATTTTCCAGTGAGATACTGCCTTCTGACATCGGTTCGACAGAGGTGGTTGTGAAAAGTGGGTATCAGGACCCCCTATACCTCAGTGCCGCCCACATTTTCCAAAGCGTCCGTAATGAAAAACCTCACGACAAAATCCTGGTGAAATATGGCACCGGGCCATTGCCATCTCTTCCGGATTTCAAAGACGAAGAATCCCAGCGTTTGTCCTACGAACTGGCGTTCAGCGCTCTAAAATGTAAGTAGAAAACGCATTTACGGGCCTCGGAGTCACCTCAAGTCTATACCAGGGATGTCCAACTCAAGGCCCAGGGGCTGGATCTGGCCCGCGGGATGCTTAGATCAGGCCCCTCCTGGCAATAGAGAAGAACCGGCCCACGGTGAAAACAGAGCTTGTGGAGGGCCACATGTAGCCACAACCGGGCTCCGTTTTCAGCTGCGACAGTCTCCTGCAGCCCTCTGCCAACAAAATGGAGCTGGGGGAGGCCACACACAGCCCTCCTGGGCTCCGTTTTCAGCTGTGATGGCCTCTTGCCAACAAAAATGGAGCTCGGGGAGGCCGCATATAGCCCTTCCGGGCTCCCATTTTCAGCGACGACAGCCTCCTGCAGCCCTTTGCCAGTGAAAACCAAGCCCAGGCTGGGTGCACACGGCCTCCCTGAGCTCTGTTTTCACTGGCAGAGGGCTGCAGGAGGCCGTCGCAGCCAAAAATGGAGCCTTGGTGAGTGACATCAAGCTGGCCACGCCCACCCTGGGCATCCCAAAGTCCAAACACAACCCTGATGTGGCCCTCAATGAAATCGAGTTTCACACCCCTGCTTTATACTTATAAAGCTCCGTGTTGCACTGGCAGGCCCATCAATCATAGCGCACAGGTAAGCAGTTCATTTTAGTGACCGTCCAAAGTCTCTAAACGAACGGTTGTTAAGTCCAGGGCTGCCTGTGTAGTTTATTTAAAATGTTTACCTAGCCTCCCCATCCTTCCGCATTGTCGGAAGAATGGGTGCGGCTATGTAAATATTTTAAAAAACTGTAAAATAGAAGGTGGGTGGGTGGCTATGTAAATATTCCAAAAACAAAATATTTTAAAAAGTAAATATTTTTAAAAAGTGGAAAAATACATCCATTAAAACCTGCAACCCTACCCAAAAAGAAAAAAGGGAAAAAAAGAGGAAAGAATTGGACTCAATCCATGCAAACATAACATCGTTGAATCTCCCAGCATTTGGAGGAATCTTCCATTTTGAAGACGATGCAAATGTTTTCCCATCCAATCCCCCAAAGTCAATCATCATCTTTTTAATCCCGAAAGGTCAATCATTAGTAAAAGTGGGCTGGTGAGAGAGTTACCCTGGGTAACTGGCAAAACAGAGGCAGCTATGTCTGAATCGCTGTGCCAAAAGACAGCAATCCAGTCTGAGTCCCTAGGAAACGGCTGAAAATTGTTCCCCTATGCAAGAGGAGAATCTGTTGTTTTCTCGCAGTGATCAGTCTCTCTCTCTATCTCTCTCTCCCTCCCCCTCTCCCCCTCCCCCTCTTCCTCCTCCCACTCTTCCTCCTCCCCCTCTCTCTCACACATATACCCGTGGGTGAGATTGAATGTAACCTAACAAGGGGACAAAAGTACAGGGTTCTAAAGGTAAAGGTTCCCCTCGCACATATGTGCTAGCTGTTTCCAGCTCTAGGGGGCAGTGCTCATCACTGTTACAAAGCCGAAGAGCCAGCACTGTCCGAAGACATCTCCATGGTCAAGTGGCCGGCATGACGAAACGCCGATAAGGCGCACGGAACGTTGTTCCCTTCCCACCAAAGTTGTCCCTATTTTTCTACTTGCATTTTTTTTACGTGCTTTCAAACTGCTAGGTTGGCAGAAGCTGGAAAAGTAACGGGAGCTCACTCCATTACGCAGCACTAGGGATTCGAACCACCGAACTGCTGACCTTTCTGATCGACAAGCTCAACGTCCTTAGCCACTGAGCCACCGATTCTAACGTGTCTCTAAAAATGGCGGCCTTGAGTTCAAACGTGGAACTTAAAGAATTGTGATTCCCTCCTTTGCACCTGTTTTGGTCGCCACGCTATAAAAAAAGATGTTGAGACTCTAGAAAGAGTGCAGAGAAGAGCAACCAGGAGGATTAGGGGACTGGAGGCTAAAAGATACAATGAACAATTGCAGGAACTGGGCCTGGCCAGTCTAGGGAAGAGAAGGACCGGGGAGACAGGATAGCAGTCTTCCAATATTTGAGGGGCTTACATAGAGAGGAGGGTCAAGCTATTTTCCAAGGCACCTGTAGGCCAGACAAGGAACAATGGAGGAAAACTAATCAAGGAGAGATTCAATCTAAAAATAAGGAGAAATTTCCTGACAGTGAGAACAGTCAACTGATGGAACAGAAGTTGCCTTCAGAAGTTGTGGGAGCTTCATCACTGGAGGCTTTCGAGAAGAGACTGGACTGCCATCTTGTCAGTAATGGTGTAGGGTCTCCTGCTTGAGGGAGGGGTTGGACTAGATGACCTACAAGGTCCCTTCCATCCAACTCTGTTACATCTGTAATCTGGTATCTGTATATCTATTTTCAGGCCATTAAACTTTTTGAAATACTATCTGAACCTTTGAAGATCGCTGTGGGGTCGTTTGCACTGCCTTTCCTTACCTTCTTCCTTTCCTCTCCTGCAGATCAAGACGTTTTGGAATACATGTTGATAGACAGCGGCGTTTACCCATTGCAATCCATAGTGAGTGGACACTGAATTATTTTTTTCAAATATTAATCTTGTTTCCACGGCAACATAGTTCAAGCAAAACTTATCGCAGACGCATTGGGTTTCATGTTAAAAATAAATAAGTACGATGTTCATATATTGCTTGGAAGTTCCACCTCGGTTGGCGCAGTCTTCCTCAAGCCTCCAGGAGGGTGAAAACGGCCACCCCCAGGCTCCGGAGGCTATTTCTGGCCTTCTGAAAGGCCCACTTTTCACCCCCCAGGCTCCAGAGGCTTTCTTCAAGCCTCCGGGAGGGTGAAAACAGCCTCCTTCAGGCTCCGGAGGCCATTTCTGGCCTTCTGTAACTTCCAGGAGGCTCATTTTTTACTCTCCTCAGACTCCAGAGGCTCAGAGAGCCTCCGGGAGGGGGAAAACGGCCTTCCCCGGGCTCCCGAGGCACGTTTTCTGGCCATCCTTAGCCTTCACATGGACCCTGTACTTACCTGGCATCCAAAACGAGCCGTGTGGGGACTCCGGGGAGGGGAGGGATGGGCAGGGCCAGCCAGGGGTGGGATTTACCAGTTCACCAAACCGGTAAATAAAAATGATAAAATTAGCTACCAGTTCACCCAAACCGGGGCAAACCAGTGGCAGCCCACCCCTGGTCATAAGTGTGAAAAATGGTCAAAAGTCGTCTTTTTTCAGTGCCGTTGTAACTTCGAATGGTCACTAAATGTACAGTTGTAAGTTGACGATCGGTGTTCGGGTTTCTTGACCTTGACGCCCAACTGGTCCTCTTACAGTCAGATGACCTGACCAGCTTAGTCGTGGTGATGCTGTATGACCTTCAGGACCGGAAGTTTGAAACGCGCTCGATTCCTGAGGACGAAGAAACCGTAGCAGAAGTTCAAGAAGTGGAGCATTATCTCTGCAGGTAGAAAGTCCAGAAAGCAGAAAGGGCTTCTTGGTGGGTTGCTGGTCGTGAAAACTAATTTTGTCTCCCATGTGGAGGAGAAAAAAAAAGAGATGCCTGGAATCCTATTATTATTTAATTATAAAGGTTTGCTGTGGGTTTGTTGTCCACCTAGGCAATTCTTCAGCACTAGAAGGGAGTGGGGTTTGCTTTCTGAGGGCTGTTGTTGTTGTTGTTCTTCTTCTTCTTCTCCTTCTCCTTCTACTTCTTCTTCTTCTTCTTCTCTTCCTCCTCCTCCTCCTCCTCCTCCTCCTCCTCCTCCTCCTCCTCCTCCTCCAACGTTCTTCCTTTTTGAATCTCTAGTTTTAAGACCAAGCTGGCAGCCGCGTTGGCGAGATGCCGAATCAAACACGATGCTCTTACGATCGAACATATCCTCCCGGAAACAATTCGGAGGCAGGAGCAGAGGGCTTCGACCTTGCCACTCTACGCTTGGGTGAACACCTTGAAAGTCAGGTGAGGTCCATGGACTTCTTGCTTTTTCTGTTCTTTTGCCTGCCGTTTTGCTTCATGGTTACAAATGTGCAAATTTTTCAATCTTCGGTGACCGTGACTCTTGAAACACACCGGTGGTAAAATTAACTGCATAAGTCTGGAGAAAGGTCTGAAATTTGGTCCAGGGCCTCCACCCTTTGCAACTTTTAAGACTTGTGGACTTACCATATTTTCCCGAAAATAGGACCCTGTCTTATATATATATATATTTTGCCACCAAAAAAGGCACCAGGTCTTATTTTCAGGGGATGCCATCCACTGATTAACCTCACTTGTGTGCGTCGCCCCTAGCCGCCTCCTTTTCGCTGTCAGAGGCCTTCAGGAGCTTATTCTTCTGCAGACAGCAAGGCCTCTTCAGCCAATAATCGAGTTCTGGGTAGATCCAGAGCTTTGTCCTCAGCTGCAGAGGCCTTCAGGAAAGCCTTGCCAGCCTTGCTGGCTGCAGAAGAAATGGGCCCGCAAGGCAGATGTTGGGGTGTGTGAGGCCTGGCTACAACTGTCCAAAGGTAAGTAGTAGGCAGTGGTAGGTTTCACAGTTTTTTACTACCGGTTGTGTGGGCATGGCTTGGTGGGCGTGGCTTGGTGGGCATGGCAGGGGAAGAATAGTGTAAAATCTCCATTCCCTCCCCACTCCTGGGGGAAGGTTACTGCAAATTCCCTCCCCACCCCACTAACCTGCTTTTCAGCTCCGTTCTCCTGTGCAGGGCAACCAAAGAAGACCCAGCTGATCAGCTAGGACTCGATGGGAGACAGAGAAGAGATGGGGTTGGCGGGGCCAGTCAGAGGTGGTAGTTGCCAGTTCTCTGAACTACTCAAAATTTCCGCTACCAGTTCTCCAGAACTGGTCAGAACCTGCTGAATACCCACCTCTGATAGTAGGGCAACTCCACCCCTCATCCCCACCCTAGTTTAATTTTTACCCATGCACTCTGGAGTGGGCGGGATCTTAATTAGGGCTTATTTTGGGGGTAGGGCTTATATTGGGCATGTAAAAAAATCAGGCTAGGATTTACTTTCATGGTAGGTCATATTTTTGGGGAAACAGGATAGCATAGCTGGCTGGGGCATTCTGGGAGCTGAAGTCCACAAATCTTTAAAGTTGTCAAGTTTGAAGCCCCCTGCTTTAGATGAATCCCTTGAATTTAATAGTCGTTTCCTTGAAGCTGGCTGAGTATCTTGGTTCCAGAAAACCAGACCAACCAAGATCACCAGACGGGTTGTTGAGATAAACTGGTGGAAGAGGTAAGACATCTTGAATTGCGGCTGAAAAGGCAGGATAGAAAGCTAAGAACTAAACAAGAAAAGTACAAGAACACTAATAAATATGAATGTATTTTTAAACAGTGTTTATTGTGGGTCCTTGGTGCTCTCTGAGCTTGGTGGTTTTCTTGCAGACATTTCTTTACCCAGCTAGGTAACATCATCAGTGTTAGAAGGGAATGGGGTTGGCGCTTAGGTTTATAAAATAAGAACAAACCCCACTCCCTTTTAGCACTGATGATGTTACCTAGTTGGGTCATGAAACATCTGCAAGAAAACCACCCAGCTCAGAGAGCAGCAACGACCCCACCGTTCAACCTTAAGCAACAAATATTCTGTTGGTAGGGTTTATTGTGTACTTAAACAACACTAATAAGCACAAATGATAAATATAAATTAAAAAATGTGCCAGAACCACCAATACTGAGCATTTACTTCGCTTTTACCATTTTTTGCTGGTCAATGAATTTAAAAAAAAAAACATATTAAAACAAAATTAAGTTTACAGACCAGATGCTATTTTGCAATGCCTGCAAGAAGCATCACAACTTCTTTTCAAATATCACACAAGCATCACACAACTTCTTTTTCAAATTGCATCATCCTTTTCTCAATAAACATGAAAGAGTCGCAGGTATTTTTGCAAAATTGAGGTGCCCAATTCACAAACTGATGGCAAATAAAACTTATAGCCCACCTTGGTCTTTTATGCCTGTCTTTAGGGTTAGTTCTGCAGACGCTGTGGATTCTGTCCCAGGTGATCATGGGGAGAATAAAAAAAAAACCTCAAAACAGAGATTGTAACCGCACAACTAACGCCCTTTTTAATGTGTAGGTTTTGGAGGGGTGACCCCACCGATGCTCCCCAATCAAGCCTTCTTTCTAGCCAGAGACCTGAACATGGAGAAGGCAATTTACAGATTCTCAAAAACCTGATTTGTGGCCCCAAAAGTGTGTTTTTGCAGCGTGTTGTGACATTTTGCACAACCCTGCTTCATCAGTGCCACTGCGGCAGGCATTCAGCATTTTAGATAAGTATTTCGGCGCTGCAGACCTTCTGTACGATCAGGATTCATGACCATAAATGATCCTGAGATTCTCCAGAAGCTGGATAAGATGCCTTCTATACAGGTAGCCCTTGACTTACAACAGTTCACTTAGTGACCATTGGAAGTTAACAATGGCATTGAAAAATGTGACCAATGACTGTTTTTCACACTTATGATCATTGCGGCATGGTCAGGTCCTTAATGTTCTGACTGCAGCTTCTCCGAAAAGCACTAAGCAGACTCTTTGTCCCGGCAAAACCCCTTTTATTAAACAAAGGTGAATTTTTTGCATTCACATTCAGCCAAAGGCCTGGCCAACAGTCTTTCAAGGGTGTAATTAGGAGCACAGACCTTATCTAGCTTGGAGAGCTGCCAAGTAAATATTTCCAAACGCAGTGCTGACATGGAAGGTCTCAGCACAGAGTCTATGAGATGCACAGACAGATCTTCACACTGCTGCAACGAACAAATTGTTTCCTGCAAAATCCCCCTCCCCTTTTGGTCCTCTTTTAATTCAAATGGGAGGGGCCATTCATTGTCCACCTGTGGCCTTACTCCCACGTCTACCCTTAGTTCGTAATTTTTCTTTTCTTTTGGCAGCTCTACACATGCGCAGGCTGGGAACCGGCTTCAGCTGCTCCCCTGCCTCACTGCTGTCCAACACTGAAGGCAGCTGATAACTGCCAGTCTGCCCTGGCCCCATCTCTGCCTCTCTCTCTTTGTCCACCTGTGGCTTCTTTACTCCCAAATCGACCCTTGTTCCTTAACTGTTCCCTTCTCTTGGCAGCTCTGTGCATACGCACAGTGGGAACAGGCTTCATCTGTTCCTCTGCCCCACTAATCTCCGACTCCAAAGGCAGCTGATAACTGTCAGACGGCCCTGGCCCCATCTCTGCCTCCGACGTAGAGCCTTCCTCAGCCTCCAGGACTGGCCCATGTTCCTCCCCAACCTGCTGACTCTTCAATTCTGCTGCTAGCTCTGCTAGCTGCCGGCAGGCCACAACATTTACATCCAGATCCTTGGCCGCTGACTCACATTTATGATGGTTGCAGTGTCCTGGGACGGACGCTGACGTGATGAGCAAAACCTCTGAACAACCGGGTTACTGATTCAACAGTGATTCACTTAACAAGTGGGGCGGGAGAGGTCATAAAATGGGGGAAAACTCACTCGCAAAATTTCTCAGCAACATAAATTCAGGGCTCAATTTTGGTTGTATGTTAAGGACTACCTGTACCTACAAACCTAAAGTTGATTTTTTGGGAGGAGTTCTTTTTCGCTTCCGTAATGTGCCGTGTTAATAACACCTGTGGTTTATTGCACAGTCTGGAAGAAGTCCACAGCTTCTTACAGAAAGAAGGCTTCACCAAAGTACAGTCCATCTCCAATTTTGATGGTGACACGTATTGCCTGGACAAGCATTGTGAAGATGGACTCATTTTCCCGTCCTCTCTTAAAGAAAAGCTGCTGACCTTGGAGCTCTACACTGATCACAAGCTCCTCTTGCAAGTAAGTGAGAAGGGTGGGCACTCTCCTGAAGAAGTGTGTCACACCCCCGCCGGAGCCTGAATCTGCGGGGGAAGTTGAGCTGGAACTGGAGCCAAAGGAGAGTGAGGGGGTGGTTTCGTTGGCTTCGGAGGAATGTGGGTAGGAGCGGACTGAGTCAGTCTAGGGCCTTTCAGGATTGGGACGGCTTGTAGGCAGGGAGGAACACAGGCAGGATGACCAAGAGAGGCTAAGCAGTGAACATGAGAGACAGAGCTCAGGCTATGAAGCAGGGATCACCCCCTCCTGATCTAAGAGCACAGAGAGTGGAGAGAAGGTGAGAACAGCATAGACTGACCCAACTACTCGGGAGGAGAGCGCTCCGCCCCTCTTCACAAGGCAAACCAGGGGTATGGGAGTGTGGACGGGACTGAGATTTAAGGAGACGCTGTGGGGAGGGACAGTTGTCGGGAACGAACACTGTGAATTCCTGGAGTGTGTTGAGTGCAGACGTTTGAACTTTCCTGGATTCCTTGCATTCTTTCTGGATTTCTCACTTCGTAACTGTGGTGCTCACAGCGTTGGGCTGGACTATTTGCACCTAGAGGCAAGCTGAATAATTCCCACACCGGTGTTTCCTTTTCATCCTTAGGATAACTCCCGGAGTCTGGCTGTACATTCGGTGAAAGCTCTGCTGAATATGGACGACGATATTTTAATTGCACAAATGGGGTCCTGGCTCACTGTGGCCCACATGTCAGTGCTGACCAATCAGGACACTTCCCGGGTGTTTGTATGCGGAGTGAAGTCTGCAGCCAGAGAGGCTGAATTGAAGGATCTCTTTGCGCGCATGGAGTGTAAAAGTAAGTGCAAGTTCTGTGGCATTATTTTGGTAAAAGAGGCCTTACAGGTAGTCCTCAATTTACGACTGCAATGGAGCCCAGCATTTCTGTCGCTAAGCAAGACAGACATTACGCGAGTTTTACCCCAACCTTCCTTGCTACTGTTAAGTAAATGTGGCTCCCCCGTTGACTTGTCTTATCGGAAGGTTACAAAAAGGGAAATCACATGCCTGTCTGTGCCCGCTGGCGGCTGGCAGCAGAGTCAGACAGTAGTGAAGAGGTTGGGGAGGAACCACATGTGCCTTTCCTTCTGAATTGGCCCGTTCCTTAATTGTTCTCCTCTCCTGACAGCTCTGCACATACACACATCTGAAACAGGCTCCAGCTGTTCTTCTTCCCCACTTATCTCCGACTTCAAAGGCAGCTGGGAAATATTGGACAGCCCTGGCCCCATCTCTGCCTCTGATGCAGAGCCCTCGTCAGAGCCTTCCCCAGACTCCAGGACTGGCCTATGTTCCTCCCCAATCTCCGCACTGTCCGAGTCTGCCGTCAGTTCTGCTGGCAGCTGGCGGGCCACAACAGCAGCATCCCTTTGATCTCGTTCTAAACTTGCCTTCCTTTCGTTTTCCCTCCTCCTCCTCCTCCTCTTCTTCCTCCTGCTTGGCCAGATATCGAGCTGCTTCATGAAGATTTTACCAACATCGAGCCCACGTTTTCCAAGCTGCAGAAAGTGAAAGTGATATTGCTCCTGCCTCGCTGTTCTGGCCTGGGGGTCAGCAATCCGATTGAATTTATTTTAAAAGAGCACGAAGGTAACTTTCTGAAGGTTTACGATGCTTAGTTCTAGGGAACGATGCTTCTTTCTGGGTTGCAATTCTGGTCACTCTCTTAAGTCCCCTTTGGCCTTCTTCTCCTTCATCCTCATCTATCTTCTCCTTTTTCTTTTCCTCCTCTTTCTTTTCCTCCATCATCCTTATGTATCTTCTTCCTCATCATCTCCTTCTCTCCCTTTCTTACCTTTTCCTCCTTTCTCCTTCTCCTCCCTCATCTATGTTCCTTTTCCTCTTCCTTCTTCTCCTTCATCCTTCTCTATCTTCTCCTTCCCTTCCCTCATCCTTTTCTATCTTCTCCTTTTTCTTTTCCTCCTTTCTTCTCCTCCATCATCCTTATGTATCTTCTTCCTCATCATCTCCTTCTCTTCCTTCCTTACCTTTCTTTTCCTCCTCTTCCTTCTCTTTCTCCTTCTCCTCCCTCATCTATCTTCCTTTTCCTTCTTCTCTTTCATCCTTCTCTATCTTCTCCTCCCCCTCCCTCATCCTCATCCTCATCTATCTGCTCCTTCATTTTCTCTGATCTTCTCCCTCATCCTCATCTATCTTTTCTTCCTTCTTATCTCCTCCTCCTCCTCCCACATCCTCATCTATCTTCTCCTTCATCTTCTCTGATCTTCTCCTTCTTCTCCCTCATCCTCATCTTCCTTCTTCATCCTTCTCTATCTTCTCCTTCT